TTACTCTATAAGTCCCTTGTGCCAGATAGTGTAATTTACATTTTGTTAAGACTGTTTATATGCTGTTATACCATTAGTATATTGATAGAAATGATATATAGTTCAATTTTTCCAAGCCTATAAATTTTTACATCTCAACAGCTGTACACAAATAATGCCAGTCCGTGATTAAATATTTGGCAAACAACCTATAGTTGTTCTAGTTAGTCCAACTCACCTCACAGGGTTGTTGTTGTGAGGAATATAAGAAGGAGAATTAGATTTATTTTCTGCCTTGAGTTATTTACAAAAACAATGGCAGGATAAAAATAAGCTGCCCTTGATTTAGATGCAAAGGCCAAAATTTATCCATACTTATACACTGAATGCATTTATAAAGGTGTAAAATCTTATTCACCATTTTTCAACTATGGCTTCTCATCAACATATTTCACATTGTATGATATGACGTGTTGAAGATAAACAGGAAATATGGAAGTCAAGAACTTTTTAATATTAAACTGCAACATATTATATCCAAATGATGTATCTTTTACAAATGAATAAAATAAAAAAATATAGGTAAAAGGACTGAGTAATATGAAATAAAACTACTCAATCACATTCATGGCATTATTTTTACCAATTCTTGCAACTGACATTCAAAATCTAACTGAAGTTTGATTTGTAACAGATGTACAATAGATTTTGGCAAATGACTATACTTCCATTAAATTATAATGGATACTTATTTCATAAAGTTTTTACAAGCAGTCCTTTAATTTGTAAAAGTGCTCATATCCCAATTAAAAATATACATTAAAAGGAATGTTTATATCCCTATATATTAACACCATATGTTGTTTTACTACAATGTTCAGGTTGACACGCAAAAGATCAGAAGAGTGCTGGGGAAATATGATGGACATGAATTCTATTTTAAAGACAAATATAGAAACGTTTTGCAATAGTGCAATAGATAAATAAATAAATATGATACACTGAGTAATTGTCCCTTTGAACTAGTCTTTGAGATTTCCAGGTGGTTGCCCTACCGGCTTTTCTCCTGGAAATCAAGAATTGTTCTTAAGTCTCAATGTGTCAGCACTTTTTTATAGCAACTCTTAACAAGAAGTGTTCTTTTTAAAGTCCATATTATATTAAGCAGTTATTACTTTTTGGACTTGAAATGTGAGAGATAAGGAAAAGACAAGAAGACTTGCACCTTCTGTGTTTATAACTTTTTACCCTCAACCAGGCAAAGACTAAACCTGGGAAAAAAATGTGTTTCAATATGTTTTCGAATTATGAATCAGATTCTAGCAAACGGGAATAAGTTTTTAAGAGCTACCAGAAACGTGAGTTGTGAATATATCCAGGGGGAAAGCCCATTTTAATAGGCCGTCCGTTGACATTTGCAGTCCATAACGAATGAAGAAAGAAAAAAAAATCGACCTGAGTAAAAGTGTGACCAGCACAACGCGGCAGTCATCAGAGACAGCCGTAGTTCGTGCTTGCTTTTATTGCGACATGTTGGAAGAAGAAAAAATGTTCTGTCCTCATGGGCCAAACTCCCAACCCACATTTTGGCCAAAAGGGCAAGTGGCACGACGCCAGAAGAACAAAAAGGCCTAATTTATGTTAAAATGGCTCGTGGGATAAATGGCCTCTTCCGCTCCTACTGACGGCTGGCAGTTCGCGCTCCCCAAGCAAGGAAGCGGGGGGAGTGGCTATGGGTCTGGTGGCAGCTTAGGCCTCAATCCCCGTCATTAAGCCCAGCCGGAGGCGATGCGAAGACGAAAAAGACACGGAGGCGGCCTCTGCTTTAATCTGAGCGACCCTCAGAGGTTCGCACTCACCATTCGCCCGCTTCAGGGCGTTCTCGGGCCGCTGGAAGTAGACCGGCATGATGGCGACGGCTTCTCCTCACGCGGCAACGAGCCCTAAGGAGCGCCCAGTCAGACAGCAAGCGAGGCCGGAAAGGGAAGGCGTCACGTGACTCTCACGCAGGAAAGTGCCCGGAAGAGAACCGATTAGACGTCGCCTCTGTGACCTCCCTCCCCCACCCCCGAGCTAAGTATGCGCATGTGCGGCAAGCTCAGGCTGTCGCCAGGGGAGAAGGCTAATTCAAAGGCATTCCCAAAAAAAAAAGTGTTGGAATGAATGGCGCAGCTCTGAATTTTATCTTCATTTTCGGAGAGCCTTTGCTTGTTATTTTCTACTTGGGGCACTTGGCTTCAGAATTACTGCTCTGGGGATTATTATTCAGAATTGCGTCTCCGCATTCCTTGGAACCAGCTTCTTCATAAAAGTTGTTGCGTGTAATCAAGAGACGGCTTAACCTGCCTTGGCCAGCGTCCGTCCTTTAGGACAGTGGTCCTCAACCTGTGGGTCGGGACCCCATTTGGGGTCGATCGACCATTTCATGGGGGTCGCCAAGCAAGGCTGTCCACCATTTTTTTTGTCCGCCATTTTTTTCCCCCTTTTCCGGCGGGTGCCTTACCTCCCTTGGGCTGGGCCAGCTGGTGGTCGGCCTGCTCCGTCTCTGCCACTTGCCAGCTACGCCTTGGCTGGCGCAGGGGGCGGAACCACGCATGCACGGCGCTCCCGGGCAGGGAAAGTCCTCGACTTACGACCGGTTGGGTAGTCCTCGACTTACGACCGGTTTAGTCCTCGACTTACGACCGGTTGGGGTCGCGGCATTAAAAAGGTTGAGAACCATTGCTTTAGGAGCTACCATTTACAGTTTTCCTTATCAGCATAGTCAGGGAAGAGGGCTGTGGTTCCTATTCAATGCCCTAGTAGTCTTACTAGACCATGAAATGCTGATTCAGAACTAGGAAGACCCAAAGTGAAAGCTTTATTTCTCTATGAAAGTCGAAAAGGCTGGACATTATATTAATTCTTATTTAGTCGCTGAGGTGCTATGCGTGAACATAGTCATTATGGTTTACAAAATATGAGTGATTTTTTAGTATATTTAGAGAACCAGGCCACTATGACAAATCAGTTCAACCGTGGTTTTGTGTTATTTCTTAATTAAAGAAGGGCTTCCATTTTTAATTTATTCTGACGCACAATGGTCACCAACAGCTAGAGTAGACTAATAAGTTAGCTGAAAGCATATGTGCATGCCAATTGAAGCCATCTAAATACATATGTAATGGACAGATGGTGACTGAGGCATGTTTATCTAGAACTTTTTCAGGTCTGTGACTTCAGAAAAAAAAATACAGTGTAGTCTAAGTTGTCTTTTACTTGGCTGGATCCCTATTCTTTTAGCTTGTAGAGAAAACAGGTATGGTAGTGACCACTCAAATCTGGGAAATTGACATTGCAGGAGGAAACTAGAGTATGATGCCTCCTGAAGAACCATCCCTGGGCAGATCTATCTTCAACCTTCCTTTGGGAAAAGGTTTTTGAAACTGTGGATCAATTTCACACCCTGTGAACCTTAAATCTTTTCAGACAGAGTTTGGACCTGGTTTAGGGGAGAGGACAGCATTAGTGACTCTCCTGGAAATCCTGAATAGGGACATGGATGGGGTAAATGTACCTCTCCTAGTCTTGCTAAATTTCTTGATGGCTTTGATACAATCAACCATAGTATCTTTAGACTGGAGAGTTGGGAGATCAAGATATTGTTTTGTGATGAATCTGCTCTTTCCTTAGTGGGTGGTTCCCGTTTATGTTCAATAGAAGAAAGGTTGGCTTAACGGCCCCTGGCTTGTGGATAGAGGTTATGCTAGGAGGAGTTATTTGGCAATTTGGGGTGCAAAAATACCCCCCCAAAACATGTGAGCTGTATTTATTACCAACCTTGTAAGATGCCTGGACCTATGACACCTGCTGGATCACCAGATGAAAGCCATGGCCAGAGGGGCTTTTGCCCACTGCTTTTCAGTAAAAATGCTGATACTGTGGAAAAACCACCCTATGGAGATCAGGCTGAATCTCTCTTTCTTGGTTTTCCACAAAGACAGCTTTTTTGGATAGCATTCTGCTAATTTCAGTTGTTGCCATTTTTATTCTCTATTTTGTAGAATTGCATTTTTTTATGTAAGCCACCAAAAGTCATTTACATATACTGCAGTATTCAAGCTGTTTCTAAAGTTACAAATTAGGAACATCATTGTGCCATTAAATTAAATCAAAAAGGAGAAATATTAACTGCATTTATAAATTATACACATGGAACTACACCCTATCCCCCAAATGACTCCACCCAAAAGCTTGATGTAGAAGTTAAAAAATAAAGTTCTATTTTGTGAGGAATCCCTAAGATCCAATCTCATTATCAAGAACAAAAATCTTTTAGAATCTCATTCTGGAACATACTATTGAAATGAAACTAGGACAAGAAGTTCTGTGGCAGCCCTTGAACTCCATTATGGTAACACCAGGGATAACCGTGATTTTCAAGGTACGAAGAGCATTAAACCCATCTATACAATGTAATGTTTGTGGAAGACAGTGTTCAGTCTAGTGGCCACGGATTGCCACATCCAAAACCTCTTGGCAAAACGATTTATGTAAAAGCAAAATAATGCTTATAAAGTTATAATTACAACTGTGAAAATTACTCAAAGAATTGATGGTGGGAGGTCTCCCAAAAAGGTGGTATGGTCACATGGAGCATCTCCTGCAGTTACATACTTTATTCTCTTGCTCTGGAGAGCAGAACTCAAGCAGAGATGAACATTTCATGGGAGCAAAATCTGGTCAAGCTGGAAAAGGAAAGTAAGCGGTAAAAACTTTTTGGCAATGACCAAAAGAAATGTTTTAACTAAACTGGATCCTCTAATACGAATTCCCCATTAAGCAGAAAGGTGGACTAGAGACGACTTTCCGAATCACACTGATTTTTCTTCACACCACTGTGAAGACATTTTGCTTAACTGCCAAGAGTCTTTAAAATAAATGAGGGAAAAAATCTCGCGGAGACACTTTACACTTGCATCCGGACACGTTCATTTCTGTAAGCGAAGAGCGAAATCAAGCCGGAAGCCAGGAGGCGTGTTACTCAATTATTCTCCCGCTCTGAGGCCCATGATGGGTCTCTCAGGAAACAGAGGAGGGATCCTGGCGCTGGGAGGAGAAAGATGGCAGAGACGGAGGCTCAGCTGCTTTTGGGTGTAGGTTTGATTGGTAAGCGCATCTCTGGTCCTGGCTGCATGTTGTGGGAATGCCGGCTTTGGGGGGGGGGGGGGGAAGAGCTGGTTAACATCCCTCGTTTCCATATTTCTATTATGGAAATTTGTGTGTTCATGAAGCAGTGGGGGAAGGCAGATGAGAGGGAACGTCTTCCTTTTTCTCCTTTTCCAATTGCCCATAGAAGATAAGTCTAAAAGCGTTTTGCCTTTGGCTACGCATGATCCAACAGGATTGTTGCACTCTTTCAGGTCCGCCTATGCCCATGCACAAAGAGTAGACGAGAAGGCTAGAAAAGAAAGAAAGCGACTTTGCATGCTCCCTTCACCTAAACAAGAATAAGCGAGCGGAGGAGTATCCTTCCATTCTTCTAGCGTGATTCTTTTTACTATCACCCCTCTTCCTAACACCTCCTGCCTTGTAATGAGTACAGCTAGGCTAGGGCACAGCACTTTGGGACCCCGTGGGAAACTTAAAAAAAAACAAAACGGGTTCAGGCTCAAACTTGTTTAATATTGACTTAGAAGATCAAGCAAATCCCATGGCGGTGAATTGAAAAAGAAAACGCTAAGTTGAACTTGATGTAAAGAAGACTTTACATGCAGCATTCTGCACAATGTGCAAAGTTAGAATAAATCCAGCCACTTTATAATTTAGTGTGATCCCTGAATTTAGCTATTGCAGTTGATTATATGCTTAAAAGTAATAGTCGCTCTGAATGTTGAGTGAAGTAGTCACCTGCACCTATCTCCTATTAATTTACAAAGGGGCCTTAGCCTCTAATTTGCAAAAGACCCCTTTCTAGTTATCCTAAAATTCCAATCCTTTTCTGAATGAAGACTGGAAAAGTAATTGAATGCAGGAAAAATTTAAAAAGTTGCTTTCCTCATATAATGCTGATTGTAGATAGCTATAAAAATGCTCAGGATAAATGTCTTAGTTTATCACCAGTGCAATTACTAGATCTCCCTTGATGTGAAATCATTCTTGAATCAAGGCCTCACTTAGGAAGCCTTTTTTGCCATCATTTATCTCACTTCACTTAGCAGGGAAACCATAATGGAAGAATTTAACAACAAATAAACTATTATTGTTATTTAGCACACTCAATGCATTGATTTTTTAAAAATTCTAGTAGAGGAGATTCTTGCTACAAGAAGAGTGTCATGGTTCCGATAGATGAGACCAATTAAAAGAATTTCAAGGCAAGGAATTCTTCCTCAAAGAACATTTTTATTTGGCTACAAAATAACAGCACATACAAAGGTGAACCCAAGACTAAATTTCTGTCCCCCTGGTTACAAAGTTGCAAGTTGCAATTCCCACTCCAATTAGATGTCATAAATCACATTCTCCAATTGTTACTAAACGCAGGTACTCCTCCCAGATCTCCAGCCCTGCCAAAATGTTACCAGTAATGACCTTGTTTCCCATACTTGAAAATTGTTATGGCTATCTTAAAACTACACTCTCAACCCTTTCTAAAATATGTGGCAACTGAAAATGAATTGAAAATGGCTTCAGTTCAATTCGTTGCAGAGTTGACAAAGAGTACAGTGTAAAGTTTAATACAAGGGAAACAGCAGAGGAAAGAGGAAGTCTAGATAAGGAAATACAGTTTGTCATAGTTTTAAAATTAAATGTGCTTTTAGCTAAAATGTAGAATTTGCTGCTGTGGCTATAGAATTTGCTGCTTTGTTTCATATTTTTAATAAAATTGTTCCAGATTAATATCACATTACAGATTAAAATACATGTATATATGTTGCCATAAATATGAATTAATTTCCTGAACTATTAAGGCTTCCATAATGTATTTTTAAAATGTATAAAAGTGGGCATTAAGTCAAATGCACAATTGGATCTAACTGATCAATTTACTCCCTTGCTGCTGTTGGCATTCTCACAGTGAACATCTTTCCACCATAGAAAAAGATACCAATGGAGATGCTCTGTGGGTTTGGTGTTATCCTTCTACAACAATTGCATTCAGAGACCTCTTATTGAGAAAATGCTGCCTTACAGATGAGAATAAACAGCTTCACACTTTCCTATTTGGTCAGTACAAACTAACATGGTTTTATATTACAACCATGGAAATTCCAGAGGCTTCTACCTTGAAAAGGGTAAGATTGAAATTTGGAGAAAGGGGGCTTGATAGAAAGATCTTATTTGCACATTCATTACCCTATTAAGAGATTAATTGGATTTTTGCAACAAGGCTTATTTTTATGTCTGCTGATTTTGTAAGGGATAACCTATCAATATCCTATATAATATATGTGATAACAATATATATGTGATAACAAAAGCAATTTGTTATCTATATATGTGATAACATATGTGATAACATATGTGATAAAAAAAGCAATTTGGAAAAAATAATAGAAAAAAATAACTGGTTTTTATGTTTGCATCAGCTGAAGTTAAACTGGATGTTTGCATAATATCCAAGATGTATTGGTCTGTAATGAGTATCCATAGATTTTCAGTGATGTAGTAAACTTAATTTATTGATTTAAACATGGAAACTGCCTAGCTCCTGATGATGCTCAGTGGTTCAAAAACAAAAACAAAAATCATGAATAATTCCGAGTGTCCAGAAGGAACCCAATAATGTCCCCAAATATCCCAAAGCAAAACTGATGGGCTCAGTAGCCATCCTACCTCTAGGCCTAGGAACAAAGCCATGTTTTTGGTGACCTCTGGAACTCCATCAGGTTGGGAGCTCTACAGATCCTCAGGGGAATGCTGCTCCAGATGGCAGATATGACAACTAAGAAGGCACACACAACTAAGAAGGCACATCCTAGATCCCAATAGATGATGTTGCTTCATGCTCCAGAGCCCTTCAATTAAACAATCTGCCTGATCTTATTAGGCCAGTGGTTCTCAACCTGTGGGTCAGGACCCCATTTGGGGTCGATCGACCATTTCACGGGGGTCGCCAAGCAAGGCTGTCCGCCATTTTTTTCCCGCCATTTTTTTTGTCCACCATTTTTTCCCCTTTTTTGGCAGGTGCCTTACCTCCCTTGAGCTGGGCCAGCTGGTGGTCGGCCTGCTCCATCTCTGCCACTTGCCAGCTACGCCTCGGCCGGCGCAGGGGCCGGAACCACACATGCGCGGCACTCCCGGGCAGGGAAAGTCCTCGACTTACGACCGGTTGGGTAGTCTTCGACTTACGACTGGTTTAGTCCTCGACTTACGACTGGTTTAGTCCTCGACTTACGACCGGCTTAGTCCTCGACTTACGACCGGTTGGGGTCGCGGCATTAAAAAGGTTGAGAACCACTGTATTAGGCAGTTAGAACTATTGAAGATAAGCAGTTCTTCAAATAAGCAGGTCCTGTGCAACACAAAGTGTTACAGATGACAACCAGTACCTTGAATTGCATCCAGAAGCCAATTGGCAACCTGTGCAGCTCATGGAACAGTGCAGCTCATGGACATATCGTGGTATACTCATTTGTCCCTGCCTGTACTATAGCATTCTGGACCAACTGTGATTTCCATGTGGCCTTCAAGGGCAGCCTCATGTAGACCATGTTGCAGGTGTTGTTTATTCATGAGGGGAACTAAGGCATGAGTGATTTTTTGAAGAGTCTTCCACTCTAGGGATGGGCAAAAACAGTGCACTAAATGGACCTGTGCAAAGGGCCTGAACTCTGACTGAAACAGGTCCAGATAATTTATTTCCTTCAAGATCCTCTGCAGTCTTAACTATTCTCAACAATCTTCCCCACAAGTCACTGCCCAGACACCACAAGTGGACCTTCCCTGTCAAAGTCCAGCTCTTAAGTAAATCTAAGCAGCTTTATCTGCCAAATTGTCTCTCCTTTCCAATTATTTATATTATTATTTTACAAGAAAGTATTTGGATGTTAACTTTTTTTTGTATGTTGCATAGGTGACCCATTTTTCCATTGTTCTGACAACCAAAGACTTCAATCCAGAAAAGTATGCAGCCTTCTCTAGGATTCTCTGTAGGTGTGTATTGCTTGATACATTTTCTACAACTGCATGGCTGAGTAGCTAAACCTTTTGCACAGCAATGTATTCCCAACTAAGAGGTGACAATATTTCTGAAAGGATCATAATTGTACATATAATTACTGATCATTTCAAGTGAATAAAACTGCAAAAATGACACATAATAGTATCCTATTAGCAGTTCTCACAGGAAACCATGAAGTGAACAAGTTGAAGTGCATTTCTTCTCAAATGTAGTTCTATCGTAAGCACGTTATTCACAATAAATCTAGCAAGATTTGTCTTCCTGCATGATGTAGATCAGTGTTTCTCAACCTTGACAATTTTAAGGCATGTGGACTTCAACTCCCAGAATTCCACAGCCAGCATTGCTGGCTGTGGAATTCTGGGAGTTGAAGTCCACATGTCTTAAAATTGTCAAGGTTGAGAAAAACTGATGTAGATCATGTTCCAGCTCTATGTAGAACTTCATGTACAGCAATTCTATCTGGCTATAGAAATAAATAAAAATAAGATCTCTACCTGGAGAAAGACCAGTTTAACTATATTCATATTATATCCAGGTTAGATTATTGTTAATACTGGTAATACTTCGAGAGTCAGCAATGGTGGACTGAACATGACTTTGCTTTTTGTCGAGCTAATGACTATGGTGGAAATAGGAGCCAGTGAAAGTATTGGGTCCTCAGAATTCTCCCGATCAAGGAGAGGGAAAGGGATTGCCCAAAAGATTGCTCCATACAGAATCTCCCTGCAAAGAGATCATAAAACAGTGATCTACAGCAGGTTTGAGATCCTCTGGGAAGAGGATCATCCTTTCAAAGAGACACTGGGTTTGCCTACTTTCTCTTAATTACTTTAAAAAGCTGCTTGCTATTAATTTCTTTGAAATTAAGACTCTTCCAAAGTACAAGCTTTACTATATCATTAGGAAAACCACCTTCCACCTTGGATGATAGAAACTCTGATGTAAATGTGTGGTTTAAAAAGAAAAGCTTTACTTTTTTGGAAAACAGCAAAAAGGGAACTAGGATGTGGATTTTAGAAAGTGATGGGACTAGATCAGTGGTTCTCAACCTTTTTAATGCCGCGACCCCAACCGGTCGTAAGTCGAGGACTAAACCGGTCGTAAGTCGAGGACTAAACCGGTCGTAAGTCGAGGACTACCCAACCGGTCGTAAGTCGAGGACTTTCCCTGCCTGGGAGCACCGCGCATGCGTAGTTCCGCCCCCTGCGCCGGCCGAGGCGTAGCTGGCAAGCGGCAAAGACGGAGCAGGCCGACCACCAGCTGGCCCAGCTCAAGGGAGGTAAGGCACCCGCCGGAAAAGGGGAAAAAAATGGCGGACAGCCTTGCTTGGTGAAATGGTCGATCGACCCCAAATGGGGTCACGTCCCATAGGTTGAGAACCGCTGGGCTAGATGGACTTGAAAGATTATCTCCTGTGTGGTGTTTAAAAAATTATAAAGTAATATATGACGATGTTGAAAGTAATTGTAAGAAATCCTCTGGTATGGAAAGGACTGGGAAATAAGCAAGATAATAAAGAGGGGAAGGATGGCTAGAGGGAACCAGAGAGAACAAAAGAGGAAGGAGCACAGGTCACATTGTGGGATTTAGTAAGTCTTGCAAAAACGGCAGTGGGTAAATGTTTTCATGGGTGAAAAAAACACTTTATTCTTTTTGGCTCAGATTATTGAGGTTCAATTTATTTTTCAGAATATACCTGAAATATAGGACCCCTGTAAAGATGATGGAGAGTTATATTTCTGTCCTTACAAAGGGGATTTGTCAGAGTGAAGAAAATGGTTCTTTCCTAAGCAAAGATTTTGATATCAGAAAAGCTTATCTTGCAGGCTCAGTCAAAGGTGAGATTTTTTTTAAAAAAAACAGTTCGGGTTAAAACTATGCATTCTTAAAAATAAACTTCCTTTCTTTCAATGAAATTTAGTTCCAAGTAAGCTGACCCTGAAAGCACAACAACCACTGTTTTCAAAATACAGGTTGTGATTAGTTGCATCACCAGCTTTTTCCTCAAGGCTACCATCAGCAAAAGTGAATCTTGGGAGTTACAAGAGTTTTCCAGGGCCTGCTTTGGGTTTCTGTTTTGTGCCCTCCCCTGCAGAGGGTGAGAAAAATAAAATCCTGGCATGAATTGAATTGGTAGGATGGTTTTTAATAAAAGCAAAAGGATGTAAAAGATACACAATGTTTGCATTCTAAAAAAAAAATGTAAAATAAATGCCAGGTTCACGTGTTATTGGTTTGATCTTTGGAGCTTATAAACCACGGCTTGGCATGTTAGGTGAATCTACTCTATTGTGAGTTAAACAAGCTATGACATAGATGTAGTATCAAACTGTAGCTTGATATATCTAAAAAGTATTCTGTAAATCTGAACAAATTTTGCCTGTTTGTAAAAGTGAATTCAAGTAAATTATAATTGTTCATATAGTTATGTTGTTAATTGTACAGAATTCTATTTTGTTATATTAAGATTCTGTTTTAACTTCTGATTGTCCTAGATATAGTGTTTCAGTTTGGAATGGAAACAGTCATCCTGTATACTGCGCTCATGTTAAAGAAAAGAATTGTAGTATATCATCCAAGAATAGAAACTATCCTTGAATTTACCAGGTAAAACAAATTGATGAAATAAAAAGGTTCTCCTTCACTTAATTTCATTTTCAAGTCTCTTGGTCAAACTCCTTATTTATTTCTAATAATTTGTGTGTGTGTGTGTGTGTGTATACACACACACCCACACTACACATACATACATACATATGTATGTATGTAACATTCAGTTATAATGTGAGTCCTTGCACATGGCCTGGTTTGGTGTCAAAATTTAACAGTGGTTTAACTTTGTATTGTTTTCAAAAGACCACTGAAAAGTCCAGTTCAAAAGAGTCTTTTATTTTACCCTTCCCTCACCTCCAGTTTCAGGATGTCCTTAATGTTGATTGTAGTGCTAACCCATGTAGTTACCATGTAGTCAGTAAAATTAATACCCAATGTCAAACTTTTCATAACAGGAGATATCTTTGATCTAGTGTTTAAGGTACAGGGTTAGAAAGCAGGAGGCCATGAGTTCAAGTCCCACCTTAGCCATGAAAGCCAGCTGGGTGACTTTGGGCCAGTCACTCTCAGTCCTACACATCTCACAGGGTTGCTGTTGTGGGGAAAATAGGAGAAGAAATGTTTGATATGTTCGCTGCCTTGAGTTATTTGTAAAAATAATAAAGGTGGGATACAAATAAATAAATCTTTGTTGTATAAAAGAATGCCTGAATAAAGTATCTGTTGTGTAGTCCTTGGTGCTCTCTAGATAGTCTTCCTGAAGAAATTTCAATATCTGATGAAGTAACATCTTCAGTGCTAGAAGAGAGTGGGGTTTGCTCTCTGTACATATAGTAGTTTGTCCTGTCAGTTTTGGAGTTTGCCCTGTCAGTTGGAGGTATTGGATTTCCCAGTGCAGTTCTTAAATGTGATTATGATTTATAACTAATCGTAATTTGGCTCAGTAAGCCATTGCATGAAATTAGTTTGTTTTGAAACATACTACAGTCTATTAAGATAATTGGTCCTATTGATTTGTGTCAAAGTAATCTCTTTGTACTTATCCACTATTGTGGTTAATCATTTTGTAAAATAAATGGTGATTTACAGATTCTGTAAAAGCAATGCTCAACAGAGTTGACACCCTCAAAACATTTATTAACATTGAATGCATTTGTTTTTGTAAAATTCCAGTTTTGAAGTGGGTCCAGGGTATGCCTGCTGGCCATGCATCTATCCATATAGTATATTATAAAAAATGCCCTTCCATCTTTGGTATGGCTTACTATCTATGGCTGAAATTATTTCATATGATTTAGAGTCCTGATCCCCTCATAAGCTAGGCAAAAGGGACAAGACCAGTTAGTGCATCCTTTGAGGAGATGATATGAACCATTGTATTAAAATAATAAAACTTTTTTTCTTTTAGGGCATTACCAGCCTTAGTGTGGCACCGACAAGATTGGTCAATTCTTCATTCATATGTGCATCTGAATGATGATGAATTAGAAGCATTAAAAATGTGTCCAGGTATTACTGATAATGGATGTAAATCAGCATTACATACAGTAGCAGAATGACTAAATTAACTTTTGTGGTAATAGAAAAAATAGTTCATTTATTAAATCAATCTATATAATCATCCATGTCACTATGGGCAGATAATAACATATTCAAATATTATAAACAGTATAAACAAAGGGTCACTACCATAGTCACCAAGGACAAATAGTTGACTAAGACCTCTTACCAGGCCATCTAGCCTCCTGTGAATCTTCAGTGCTTTACAAAAGTCCACCAGGGTTAGGGCCAATCTTAACTCAAGGAATATGGTGTTCCAGAGGGTAGATGCTGTGACAAAAAAGGCATGCTTCCAGGGCCCCATAAGACAGTGTTTATTAATTGTCTCTAATATGCTTCTATAGTACTTCTCTATATTATAAAAGGTATTAACATTCTAATCCAAAGAAGCATTCACAGTAGTATTACATAATTTGAACTTTTGTAAGATGTTGAGATATCAGCTCAAATATCACAAGATGATGGTCAAAGCCCAGAAAAGATACTATTCATTATAGTTCCTTCAAAGTCACACTAATAATCTTATGATCCATTTGGTGGCTCACATGTTTGGAAATCGCAGTACTGGACAACTCCTAATTATCTATTGCAAAAAGTAGTTGCTTGGATTTCTTGTAGAATAATGGAATACAAATACAAATATAGAATTTGGTACCTGTTATTTATGAGGTAAATTTCTATGATACTGGTAGAGGTCCAATGTTAGCATGCATGTTCAAGACTATAAAATGAATAAAAGTAATTTTAAACTTCTTAAATTCATATAAAAGTGATGGAAGAGAATATTTGTAACTCACGTTGAACTCTTGGGGTCCTTGGTACTCTCTGAGTTTATTTTCTTGCAGATGTTTCATTATCAAACTATAGAACATCATCAGTGCTAGTAGGGAGTGTGAGTTGCTGTCGTTTGATATATTAGTGGCTTGCCACGTTAGTGTTGGTGGGAGTGTTGGTGGTGGTTCCTTGATTGGGCTGTTTGTCTGCATTGGTAGTTTCTTGATTGAGATATTGTTTGCTTATCAATTGTTGATCTAATATTAATCTCTGTTTATCTAGGTTTTGATTGCTGATGAGGTCTTTTGGTTTGAGTCACACAAATCAGGCATCAACAGGCACGTAGAGAAAAATATCTACATACCATTCAAAAGAGACAATCAGAAAGCCAAAAAGAAAACAAAAAGACTAAAAGACCTCCTCACAAGCAATCAACACCCAGATGAGCAGAGATTAACACCAAGATTAATACTTTAATAACAATCCAGAAGCAAACAATATCCCAATCAAGACCACTCCTACCAATACTGTCTGGACAAGCCACTAGTATACAAAATGAAAGCAAAACCCATTCTCTACTAGCACTGATGATGGTATCTAGTTTGGCAATTAAACGTCTGCAAGAAAACAACCAACCTCAGAGAGCACCAAGGATTCCCATATTAAAGTACTTCTAGTGAGACTGCTTTTACTGAAACATTCTAAAATCTTTTCTTATCAGGATACATTGCTGGATGTATAGATTCAGAAGTGAACAACAGGATAGATCTTTATGATGTATATGTCAATCTGGCTGAAAGTGAAATCACCATTTCACATCAGGCAAAAGGTTTGTGGGCTATGTCATCTACTTTTCTCATATATAAATGTATTTGTTTGCATATGGGATATGCTTCTGGGTGGCTCACTACATTATAAAATAATATGTCAAAAATATCCATTATAATATCCTACATAATCATTAAAAAGTGGTGCTTCACTCCTATTACATCCAAGCTCAAACTGGGCTTGTGTCATGTTCAATTAAATTCAATCCTCCTTTTCTGACTCATTTCCCAGAATTCCTTAGAAAATAAAGAACTCTTAGATTGATGACTAAGAAGGATCAATTCTGAATCAACTCTGTAGCAATTCCAGAGATAAACTGATTATTATAAAATTGATCCCCAGAGCACTGGGAATTTTTTTTAAAAGTAATTGAATTTATGAGGTGCCTAAGGCCAAAAGTCCTAATTGGTCTTTTTCTCCCCTGTGGAGGTCACCAGAACTGACTACAGGTAGTCCTCATTTAGTGACCATAATTGGGACTGGCAACTCAGTCACTAAGTGAATCAATTGCTAAGTGAAGCCACGCTATACTTATGATCTTCAGTTTTCCTTTGCTTTATAGGCCTGTGAAGGTTGTAAATGTGACGATTGGTCGTAAAGTTACTTTTTCACACACACCCTGTGAACTGTCGCTAAACGAGGACTGCTTGTAGTATCACATTGACTAGGAAGTGATCTGATCATGTCAAAAGATTGATGGAACAACTGGACTGCAAGATGAGCAGTATGCTAGCAGAACTCCTACAGTGTCCCTCGTGGTCAGCCAAAAATATGTGGTCTAATATCTCATCATATATCAGCGTATATGATGATCATAAAAATTTCCAAGAGAAACTTTACAAGCCACTTTCCTTGGTGTTATAGCTGCTAGGCATTTAAGACCCGGAAGAGCAAATGTTTGATAAGGAAACATGTTTTCACCCAACCAGGATTTAGTTTATTCACCCCAGTTCTACCTTGTACCTGGGTCATGGAGGAGTATGATTTTATTACTGGTGTTAGCAGATTGAAGTCAGTTTGGCATCCAGGATCCTAGGATAAGGCCGAAAGGCAAGAAGAAATTCCTACGTAATGGTATTCTACAATGCCTCCCTTTGCCCATTACTGTTCTAATTCTCTGATCTCCAATAGCCTCCTAAATGTGGAAGGTGGTGTAGGAAATTTCAATATCCTCTTCTATGGTGTAGTGCGTTCCTCTGTTCCAATACTCAGAAAACTGTTAACATAAGATGGAATGAACTAAGATGTAAGTTATTAGTGTCAATGCTAATTTCCTGACCCAGGCACACGGAAGAAAATAGGAAAAAATGCTTATTTTAAGGAATGATTTGAAAGAAGGAAAAGTTATTTAATTAAAAGCTAACAGTAGGGTTTTCACTTAATCGTCTAGTTCAGGGGTCCCCAACCCCCGGTCCGTGGATCGGCACCGGACCATGGCATGCCAGAAACCGGGCCGTGCAAACGAGTAAAGCCCCATCCACAGGATGCAGGCAGCATGTGAAACCATATCCCCTCCAGTCTGCGGAAAAACCCCTTCCATGGAACCAGTCCCTGGTGTCCAAAAGGTTGGGGCCACTGGTCTAGTTGGATAAAAGCGATGCCACCACAGTTCTTTTCTGATTGAAAGAGATGATACTACTGTATGGAAACTGAAATATGGATCCTAAACGATAGCAGAATGGGGGAATTCTATCAGTTCAGCTCTATTATTAAATTACAAAGAAGCAACATTTTAGCATTATACAAAGAGCAAAGAATTGTCATTGAATGCAGCTCGAAGAAATCTTGATCTAGAAATGTGTACTTTTTGTGTGGCAATGTGATCTTTGGTATGACAAATATGTACCTTTTGTGTGGCAATGTGGTCTTTTAACCCAAATTCTGATGTTGTGATTACAGTTCTGTTTTGGAGTTATATGTTTATTTTCATTTATTTATATAAAGGAAATGAGTGATGGTATACTTCTCTTCCCCCTCAGAGGCAATGACAATGGGAAAATTGCATAAAGAACTTGGTCAGCTAATTGTTCAGTCTGCAGAAGATCCAGAGAAATCAAACAGTCAAGTTATAAAGGTTAGGTTTTTGTATTATTTCAGTCTTTAATATTATTTTGTTATCTAAACTATTACACTCCTGGTATAGAATAGAGTTATTAGTATTTAAGCCAGAGTTAAGATGGTTTAGATCAGTGATGGCGAACCTTTTAGAGACCGAGTGCCCAAAAACTGGCACCACCCCTACTCCGCCCCCTGCCCCGCCCCCACCCCATCCACCATCTTGCCTGCCCGCAGGGCCACTCACCGCCTCGAGGGCCCGCGGTAGATCACCCAGGCAGCCCAGCAGCACCATGGCAGCCACACCCTCTGCCCGTGCCCCGCAGCATCAACTGTGCGTGATGGGGCATGAGGGCAGAGTCTTGTCTACGCTGCCTGGCTGCCATGTCCTTGGCTGCACTGCTCCGTGTGGGCCATGCTCAGGGGCGACTCTCCTCCAGGGAGGCTGCTGGTGAGGGGGTCGTGGGGGGAGGCGAGGCTGGGGCAACGGCACGTGTGCCCACAGAGAGGGCTCACGCGTGCCATAGGTTTGCCACCACTGGTTTAGATGACTGACTGAGCTCTGGCAAAACTTCAGACTATGTGTCTCCTATAGAAGGCGGAGAAGAGACCAGCTTTTATTTTAAGATAAAAACCTGCTTTTCTAAACAAAGCTGGAACTGAAATTGATTTGATTTAAAGCAAGCCATTGTTCCTTGAATCCATACATAATGTACAACTGTTAAGTTCTTCATAAATTAAATTGGAAATATTCACCAACTTAATATATTTAAATAAATATGTGAGTCAAAAGTTGAGGAGAGCTGGTTACCCGCTGATAATCTGAAGTAGGAACGGGTCATCTGTGGCCTCAAAGTTACTGTTTTTCCAATCAGTGAAATATCCTTTGACCATATTTGCCACTTGTGATTCCTTAATTTATTTTAAAATAGATGTTTTTGACATAAGCACAAAACCTATAATATAAACCTTAAACAATAATTGGTTTTAGAAAAAAGACAAAGAACACTTAAAATCCTTCAAAACCTAAGAGAAAAGGTCCTGGTCCTGCCATGTGCATTAGGCAGCCTCACTTTTTTTTATTATTATTATTAAAAGTTTTATAACATTTACAAAATAAACCCCCTTCCCCACCCCCCAAACCCCCCCCACTTCCCAGAGCTGTTCACAGGGTTACAAATATATTAACATAATCTAAATAACATTATCCAACTAATTATGTAACCAAATCTATAACACACTTTAACTCCCTTTTAAAATAAGTTTAGATAATTTAAAATTAAACACAATAATAATGCCTCACTCTTTTTGCATTATTTTCCTGCTTATCATCTTGACTTCTCAGATGATTACACCCACACTCATACTTACATGTCTCTGCATTCGAAAATTTCATTTTTTTTTTTAACAATCCAGGTAGCCCCTGGATGTCCATGGCAATTGGGACTGGAATTGCCATTGCTAGCAATAGAGTTGTAAAGTCTGATAGCACAAGACTGTGTCACTTAGCAACAGAAATTCTGACAGTCCCAGTTCCATTGTTAAGTGATGACCATGCAGGTCATTAAGTGAAGACCTCACATGACTACGACTTCCAACTTCCTGCCAGCCTCCCCATTGACTTTACTTGTGGGAAACCGGCAGGGAAAATCAGAAATCACATGACTGCAGGGATGCTACAATAATCAGAACTCTTGAGCACCCAATGCAAATACCATTTGTGCAGTTACCACTATAATTTTGAACAGCCGCTAAATCAGGGGTGTCAAACTCAATTTCATTGAGGGCCGCATCAGCATTGCGGTTGCCCTTGGGCCGGGTGGGTGTGGCCAGAGTGGGTGTGGCCTACTGGGTGGGCATAGCCAGCTCTACATCGTTCGTGTCAAGGATGCCTGTGGGGGCCTGAGCAGGAGTGGGACAGATCTGAGAGTTTCTGGAAGAAGGGGGTGGGACCGGGGCAAGCACCAAGGCATGGTCCATTTCTTCATTCCTCACAAAGGGTGACACCTCCCCAGCATGAACCCAGGGGGTGGGGCCGACACGGCAGGGACTGTTCCTCGCTGTTTCTAGACGGCCTTGTGGACCTAAGACTAAATGCGTTTCAGCATAGATGGCCACCACAAAATTGTACATTGGCTCCCGGCCGGCCTGGGCCAGGGCCAAGGCAGCAGGGGCCGTTCTCTCACTGTTTCCAGGATGGCTTCGCAGGCCACATGAAACCACTTCGCGGGCCGCATCCGGCCCCCGGGCCTTGTGTTTGACATGTCTGCGCTAAATAAATGGACTACCTTTATGCATTACCCATGGCATCTTACCCCACATTTTCATGATAAACAAATACTGTACACTGTATACCGTATATATTTGTAGTCCCTGGCATCTCCAACTAGCACTGGAAAAGAACCTTTTCAGAAAGCCGCATATCTATATATCCTTTAAGCATGCAGAGATTCATACATTACTTTTAGCTATTATTTGTTTAAATATATTCCTTTTGATAAGCCACAATTGGCAGCGTATATGCAGTGTTCTAAAATGGTAATTAAAAAATTATAGCAGTTGAGTTTGTTACCATCTAACACATTTCAAATGATATGCATAAACCTAGACATTGTGTGTGAATCTACTAGATTCATATATTGACAACATTCAGAACAGCAGCAGTAATATGAAATCACATCAAACCTAGTTTAAATATTCCAATAGTATTCCATCTCAGAAAATAGTATCTATAGGGCTTTTGTATTGTTATTTGTATCCCGCCTTTATCGTTTTTATCAAACGTTTATACTGACCTGACATAAATCTCAGATTAAGAAGAGCTTTTTTTTAACTAACTTTTTCATATTTGCTCTCTTTATTTTAAAATGTCTCTGCAGGATGTTTCATTGAAGACAAAGGAAATCTTGACAAATCTGGCTTCATTCACAGAAGTCACTCATGATGGTGAGAAGCCATCACTTAACTTAGAAGCACTGAAACAAAAGCGATTCCCACCAGCAACAGAAAATTTCCTTTATCATTTGGCAGCTGCTGAACAAATGCTTAAAATCTGATGTTGTAAATAAACGTCAGTGGAATACTTTAAAAGTACTTTGCTATAATGCTTATGTAAAGAATTCTGTGGAAGGTTGTTGTTGGTTTTGTTTTTTAAAAAAATATACTTTTCTGGAGAGGATAAGCAATGATACAGGCTTGAAATTCCATCAGTGGGCCATAAAACATTGACTATAGTATGCCATTGTCAGTTCTTCCTACAAAAGGCCTGAAGACACGATGGTTTGAGCTTGCATTAAGGTGAAATATTGTCAAGCCCAATCAGCACCCAGAAATCAATAATCAAATTGTTAATGACATAAATACTCTTAGAATCACACAAAATAAATAAGCCTTCTTCAATTTGACACCTCCCAAGTACTGTGTTGGGAACACAACACCCAGGATTCCTAGCAGACTGCCTCAATTCTAGTCAGGCTTAGCACATCCGTAACTTGCAAAGAAGCTGAAAGTTAGAGCTTCAGTTAAATCAACCAATACAGGTGGTCCTTGACTTACAACAGTTCATTTAGTGACAGTTCAAAATTACAATGGCACTGAAAAAAGTGACTTAATATTGTTTTTCACTTAACAACCGTTGCAGGATCCCCGTGGTCACGCGATCAAAATTCAGACACTTGGCAACTGACTCATTGAGTTGCAGTGTCCCAAGGTCATGTGATCATTTTTTGCGACCTTCCTACAAGGAAAGTCAGCAGGGAAGCCAGCTTCATTAACAACTGTGTTACTAACTTAACAACTGCAGTAATTCGTTTAAAAACTGTGGCAAGAAAAGTCATAAAATGGGGCAAGATTCACTTAACAAATGTCTCACTTAGCAACAGAAATTTTGGGCTCCATTGCGGTCGTGAGTTGAGGACAACTTGTACTCTGACCCTAAGAGTTGTATATGCAGTGTGACTTCCCACAAGCAATCTCTGGATGTTTGACAGATTACATCTCTTGGTCACACTGCCAAAATATTCAATGTGCCTGCTAGCCATACCTCACATAGGTGCACTTTGGGTTTTTAGAATAAGAGTATGTGCAACTTTTGGTGATGATGAATCCTGATTGAGTTTGGGAGCTGTTTACTTATAAAAAACAGTCCTATTGAATATATATACATATATATATACACACACACACATATATATTAAAATAACCAGTAGCTGTTGTTTTTAGGAAGACAGCTGTAAAATTCTTTTTTTTCCCCTCCTTCAAGGGACCAGGAGGTTTAATTCCTTCCTCCTGTTTTTCTGAAGCTACTCTCCTTGTGGGTTATAAGATGTCAGCATGTATCCTTTGCAGAAAGAATATAGGACTAGATTTTTTTATTGCTCAACTTTGCCTTTCCCTGGAATCGCCATTGACGTTTGGCTGAGCACATTTTTGTGGAAGGTTTAGCTTATTAATTCAAAACTATTATAAAACTAAGAGGTTTGTAAAAAAGAATAAAACTAAAAAATCCGTTAACATTTGAGGCTATGCAGTAGCACTTTGCTTTTAAAATGGACATTTATGATTCTTGCTTTTTGCATGTGATTATAGACTGTTTTAATTAAACACACTTATTTCTATTAATATTTTATGAAATACTGTTTAACTATGATCCATGATGTATACTAGCAATATTGAGAATCTTGTTTTTGACTCATGAGTTGCATATTGCAATATAGGAGAATGTGCAATTATTGGGAAAAAAAATCTAAATTAGGATATGAATATGACTAGAGCACCCCTATTTTCAGGGATGTGCCACTCACTTTTGTACAAAAATATATGATTTAAAAATTTAAAAACCAACTTAATTTAATTTCATATGGCTATTTTTTTTCCTTGATAGTATTATCTTCGCCATTGATGTGTTAACGGATAAAATACGCAATATTTCCCTTATCAATCAGCATGTAAAGTCAATATATCCTTGTATTTATTTTGTCCTGTTAACTATAAGAAACAAGCACAAAAAAATTCATTCTGGAAATTTAGTAGCTCTTAGAAAGCTGGAGAAGGCCTCTGTAATAGACTGCGTAATCCCTAGTCTACCCACTCAAACAAGAAACAAATTCAATTTTTTTAAAGGTTGATTTATGCATTTAATAGTTGGTCTCCAGTTCTGGGTATACAAGAAAGGGGTTTCTTTGTAAGAGACTGTCATAACAAATAGCAGCACCTAGCTAACATCTGATCACCTTAAGTAGGCCCCGGCATTGGTAACTCCAAGAATGACTGGGTTGTACCCCAGATTTACAGCAATTCTGGGAAACAGATTACAGACTGTAATAAGAACTAAGATATCAGTTAAATTAAGGATTAGCACATTAGAAGGGCAAGAACATATAGACCAAGGCAAACTTTATTCCATGTAATTTATTAGATTTATTTCCGGTCCTTTCTCCAGAATCCCTAAGCAATACACATATCACTTCTTTGCCCAAAAGGAATATGTCAGGCTGAGAGAGAAGGAGAGAGAGTGTAGTAGCAGATCAAAATTGCAGATTGTTTTGCCATGGCTGAAAATGCTCTTGAATGCGAGTGTCCCCAGCCCTAATCCAACATCTCATTTTATCGCACAAGTTCTCCTTCCATTTAAAAAAAAAAAGCTGTAGAAGGCAGTTCACAATGCAATAGATTTTGCATTTATAGCTAAGAGGTCCGTTTCTTGAATAACAGCCTTTTTATTGTTCAGATATACGTAGATTGCAAAATCAAATCCTTTCTGTACAGAGAAGTATCAATAACAACATGATTATTCTCCCCCTCCCACTTATCTTCAGTTTTTGTTACAGATGATTCAAAATACTTCAGACCAACTTTCTACTCTTACTACCAGAGTTCCTCTTTTATGCATAAAAGCCAGCTTCATCATTACAAGAATGGCACTCTTAGAAAACCATTAAGGTCTCCCACTATTAAACTCCCCTATAATAAAAAAACGTTTCTTTAGTGGAAGAAACCAGATCTGGCTCAAGTTCGTTTCTCTTTATCTGAAAAATAAGAGAACATTTTAAATTTCTTACTGGGTTATTTTAACCACCTGGATTCACTTCTGTACAAAGACATGGCTTACAGAAATCATAGGAGATTGAAGTATTACAATTTACATCAAAATCTCACATTACTGTCTCTGAATTAGTAACACAAAAGTCAAGACAATTGAGTAGGCAATAAATAATAAAAAAACTTGTCTCCTACAATGAAATATCTCCCCAATCCTCTGAAATCAAATAGAAATGTTTAGGAAAATATGACAATATGTTTAATACTGCAGTTATATTCAAACTCTAAAATCATCTAAGTACTTCTCACCCTTCTCCTTTTTTGTCAATCTTTGGTCCCCCATGTGTTAAATTTCCAACTCTACAAATTTTAAACTTTGGACATTGTGAACATCTCTGTGCAGATAGTTCTTGATTTACAACAGTTTGTTTAGTAGCCGTTTAAGGTTAACAACGACACTGAAAACAGGAACTTATGACTGTTTTTCACACAACCGTTGCTGCATCCTGATGGTCACATCAAAATTCAGCTGCTTGGCAACTGGTTCATATTCATGACGGTTGCAGCGTCCTCGGATCATGTGATCAGCTTTTGTAACTTTTTGACAAGCAAAGTCGATGGGGAAGTCAGATTCACTTAACAACCGCTTAGCTAATTTAACAACTGCAGGGATTCACTTACCAACTCTGGCAAGAAAGGTCATAAATTGGGCCAAAATTCACTTAACAACCATGTTACTAACTTAACAACTGCAGGGATTCACTCCAGAAAGGTTGTAAAATGGGGCAAAGCTCACTTAACAAATGTCTCGCTTAGCAACAGAAATGTTGGGCTCAGTTGTGGCTGTAAGTCAAGGACTACCCGTATCCCAATTCCAATCCTAACAGTTTCTGGGAGTTTCTATGCTTGCATGTCCCAGTAAACCCAATGCCCCTCTTTCACTTAAGAGAACCCAGCCCATTTAATGTATCTTCTGATTTTTATTCGTCAGGGTTTATATTTTTTGCTCATTTGCACTGCCGTTTAACCCTTCAATCTACCCAATTATCAAAAGTTGAAAAGAAAATGAAACATGCCGATTACCTCTCTTAACTGTGGAATCCAACTCAGTGAAACAGGCAGTAGTAACCAACAGAAAAAATATACCAGAAACCCTCTCAAGATCATTGACCTTTGTGGGAAAACTCTTCTGCTGCAAAAAGTTGAAAGGACAAGTAATTACACAGCCTGGCACCGATAAATCTTCAAGACGTTGGGGCTTACAGGTAGTCCTCGAGTTACCACAGTTCGTTTAGTAACCATTTAAAGTTACCATGGCACTGAAAAATGTGACTTATGACCATTTTTCACACTTACAACCTTTGCAGCATCCCCATGGTCATGTGATCAAAATTCAGATGCTGGTTCATGCTGTGTCCCAAGATCGTGTGATTCCCCTTTTGCGACCTTCCGACAGACAAAGTCAATGGGGAAGCCAGATTCACTTAACAACCAGATTACTAATTTATCAACTGCGGTGATCCACTGAACAACTGTGACAAGAAAAGTCGTAAAGTGGGCAAAAATTTACTTAATAAATGTTTCATTTAACAACAGAAATTTTGGGCTCAATTGTGGTCATAAGTCAAGGACTACCTGTACTGACTTAGCAGCGCAAAAAGGAAGTTTTTCAGCTGCTCTCCCCAAACCAGAAAACCATTGATGCCTGGCCTCTTAGATGGATACCAGGAAACTTTCGGCAGCCAGAATTATGCTTAGTTATTCTTGTTATTTTGGCTGCCAAGCACTACTATAGGGAGGATGGTGGTACTAATTGAAAGGAAAGGCATGGGACATTCAACTCCTTGGGAGTGGAGTATTTTTTTTTAAAAAAAATAATAAACTATAGCCTAATATTTCCTTTGATGCTTTGCTGCCAAATATTGACAATTTGATTTTTTGGGTGGGAAGGGAGGGAGAGTGCAAAAACCCTTCCAGATTCAGAGCCCAGTATGACATCCTGAAAGCATCTCGCGTATAAAGCATTTTAGAAGAACATTATTCTTTTGTCTCTTTGAATTCATCATATATTGTTCCAATTATAGCCCCACAAAATTTGTACAGAAAGAAAAAGTCCCCTTTATTTTTTTTAGCATTCTTTTCTCGGGAGACCTACAGCAAATTACAAGAAAGTAATAATAAAACATCACCTTCAAAAAAATCATCAATTCTTGAAAGTTAGTATAGGAATTAAAATAACGTTCATTTTAAAAAGGAAACTACAGTAAGAAACTTAAGAAGGAATTTGACCCTGAGATATATTGTGATCCTCCAAATGACTAAATGGTCAGGCATGTCTTCAGTTAACTTATGAAGACAGCATGAATCTAGTTGTACTTTCCTTGGGAGAGAATTTCATAAAAGAAGGCTAATGCTGGCTATTAGAAGGTTCACACCTGACCATTCTAGGATGAGCTGGAGGACCATCTCTGTTGATTTTAATGCTAATGCTAATAGATACTGATAGAAGTGATCTTTTAGATACTTCTTAAATGATTTAGGAGAATGCCAGCATGGAAATTCTACCTCTAGTAGCCAATAGGCAATCAGAGTTATCTGGATTGCTAATGTTAACAGCTCTTCTCCCTGCATCAATCCAAAGTGTGATCACAATCTTAACACAGCTACAGTTCCTGAAAAATTTCCCTGAGAATTCAGGGTACTTCAGATTCTGTAACCCTCAAAGGATCTTATTTGGTCCTGAATTCTTCTAGGCTAGATGAATCAGCAGCTAGACCAGGGGTAGTCAACCTTGGCTCTTTTATGACTCGTGGACTTCAACTCCCAGAATTCCTGAGCCAGCTAAGCTGGCTCAGGAATTCTGGGAATTGAAGTTCATGAGTCATAAAAGAGCCAAGGTTGACTACCCCTGAGCTAGACCAAATCTCAATAAGAAGTAATTGGCCCATGTTCAAGATGGGCTAACACAAGGATTATAGTTCCCCTGTTATATTATTTCATTATTGATAATGGATATAATATTCTATTTGATTTTTTCTTGGTTATTTGGTTGAGGAAACCTATTTATCTTACCGATTTATGAGATACACAGCAGTTTCAGAAATAATCATTGGCACACCAAAGAGTATACCTCGGGATAATGCTGTTTCTCTTACAGCCTGCGCAGAAGGGAAAAAAACACACATATATATACACAAAAGGAAAGTTAGAATCACAATATATTCAGGTCTCTTAAGAGCTTGCACTTTTATGAATCTGGATGCCACATTTTTAAAAGTTTTTGCAAGCGTATCCAATTAATGTGGTATCAGAGGGTGGCCAGGGCTGAGTATTATGGGCAATTTCTACCAGCTGGGTGGCTGATAGAATTGAAAATAAAAATGCATATATCATAAAACTTAATGCAGCGATCAGTTTAGCACAACGTGAATTAGGAGTTGAACATTTTAATTTTAAAGAACCAGTTTTATTCTAAATTCAAATCGACTAAAATGCTGCTGAGGCCATCTTTGTCATAATGAGGGCTACCAGAATATGTGTTTCCATTAGATGAGCTATGTATCACAAATGTATAGTATAAGAAAACAATGATTTTGGAATTAAATGAAAAAAATTACAATACAAGACAATCCAATCTCCCAAGTCACTCTGGTTAACAAATTAACAGTACAGACAATTACAATCAAAGCAATTAGCCTTCCTTATTATGATTATAGAGCCTGGGAAGTCCACAAAACAAAGGGCCAAACCAAACATTTCCCACTTTTGGGTGGAAATGCACCAAATGCATATTCATAAGGAAATTCTGGTAAATAAGTAATGGGGAAAGTGCTACTAAATGAAACTGACTATCAAAATACAGAAATTGAGAACAAAAAAATAGCCATGCTGGATCAGGTCAAAAGCCTGACTAATCCAAGAGCCTATCAAAATCCACAAGCAGGACACAAGCAGAATCACATTTTTCCATTTCCATTTCCAGAACCTCAAACCATCTATTACCTCCTTTAATAGAGGTAACACATAGCTGTCATAGTAGCTTTTGATAGGCTTTCCTTCTAATTTATAAATGACATCCCTGTGATGATTTAATTTAATTGAGTATAAAAGGGTTTAGTTGAAATGGAATAGAAAGGGGAAAATCAAGCCAGTGGAAACATCTGTGTTCCTTCACTTACTTTTTCCCCCGCCACCTTAGACATTCCAATAACTTCACCCGTGCTATGCATGACCTTAATCCCATTCTCACGTTCAAAGTTTCTGACTATGAACACATTGAATGCACAGAGAACACCTGCAGAGAACAGGGGAAAAGATCAGGCTCAGTAAGAAATATAAACAAGAATTATTAGCCTTAACTCTCAATTCTTGTGATAACATTTATATTAGCAAAGCAGAAGAGTGACTTGACCTCTGGCAGACATTGTAAAATTAAAAAAACAAACAGAAAGAAATGCACTATTGGGCTTAAATTCTGCTGCAATTGCTGGAGAGTCTTCCAAAAATTATGATTTTGATAATCAGTTGGCTTACGCGGAAACTGCTGAAGGTTTAATTTCCAGGGTTTTCTTGGCTCATACTGAAATTTCAGCCAAATTGGCAAAATTTTCTAGTACTCTAATTTTCTTCATAATTTTCTGAGTCAGTTTAAAAAAAAATATCTATGGATACACCCATGGAGGAAGCAATAATATGGTGTACGCTATGTACAATAACGTATGAAAAAACAGATACTGACTATGGGAAATTCTGATTAGCTTGCATTGTAATCTGAATTAAAGATCCCCCTTTTATCAGAAAAAAACACCTAGCAATTGAAACAATTCTGAGTTTGAAACTAATGGATGTGCGATCAACCTGTAACTTTTACATTATTTCTGGGAGAATGGGCTAAATTTATTCCAAGTATTTAAGGTAACTACAGGAATGAGAAATTGGAGGCAGTGCCTTTGAAATTCTACATAATTGTTACGCTTATGGTCATTGAACTTCAAGAGGAAATCAAAGAAGTTTGGATAAAAGAAAGCAATCTTTGGGGTAGGGTAGCCAATTGAGGGCACTCCCATAAAATATGTTAAGCCCCTGCCTAAACATACTTGACTCATAATTAATAATAAAAGTAGGTTGGACTAGGATCACTATCTTGTATTTTATCAAACAACAGGATTTTTATACCTCAAAGGCTACAGAAACACTTGAAAATCACTTTATTAATAAAGACTACTTTTATCCTTTTATCGACCAAGGATCAACTTTTAGAAGTAAACCCAGGAATCTCAGGACTCAGAATCTTGCAAGATCGAATCTGGGTCGATCACTGGGACCAAAGGTTTACTCTTCCAAGCTTTAGAACTGGAGCTGGAGCCCATCTTCAGGGAATTTCTCTCTACTGAAATATGTCCTTTGGGCTATTCTGTGAGTCCTATTTATGTGGTGCCTTCTGATCGGTATGTTGATGGCTGGCAATCAGTTGTTGTCTCCTTGTGCTGTCAAGCCCTGGGCTCCTGATAAGCTGGTGGTAAATCAGCATTCCTGTTGACTGACAAGGGGCCCATTTCCCAGGCTTCAATCATTTCTCTGGCTATCTTTGTACCTGCACGGCCAACAATCTTAGTAGCTGCAAAATTGAAATGTATGTCCTTGTTCATTGCAATGTGAGGCTACCAATGAGTTCGGGTCTCCTCGTCTGAACGCTTGTGTTCTTGCAGTTTGTGGTTAGCTTGCTCCCTGTCTGTCCCACATAATTAGAATATTACTTCATGCGATTTGATCTTACCCTACTGTTGTCACATTTAGGGATAACATGAACAAAATTTAACAAAAAGATTATTAAGATAACTCTGGATTTATTGCAGAGTATTAAAGGAACATATGTCCCTCTAGGAAATATGACCAGTATTTAGCATCTATTCGGAATAAAAAATGTGATTTTTTTTCCTAGCATGAGGCTTGTTAAACAAACAATAATAAAACATTGAAATGGGACCTGCGTAGCTGATTTCCAGCATCAGCAGTGTTTGTCAACATTTGAAATAGGGTTTTTTTTTCAACAAGGACAATTTTCAAACAACATGGCTACATTTTGAAACTGTTATGTTTACAACATAAATATTATATTTGAAAAAATGCTCATACCTGATAGAACAGCAACAACTATATAAGACAAACTTGTTGACAGCATAGAATACCTGTAACTAATGTTTCAAAGAACTGTCACACTTTTACTCACCAAAAAAAGCACTTGCCATGAACTTGCTGAAGAAATGCCCTGGAGTATTTAGTGATTTCTTACGCGCTATAACATAGTGAGGGAGAGTCTGAAAACAACCGTTTCAGAGAGAGAGAGAGCGAGAGAGAGCGAGAGAGAGAGAGAGAGAGAGAGACAGGGAGGAGGGAGAGGAAGGGAGGGAGGGAGGGGAGAGAGAGATTGTGACATTTTTATTTTGTACTCAGCTTTATTTCATGGAAAAAGAGGGATTGACTATAAGCTTTTTCCACTAAATGTTAATAAGTCTATCCCCAACAAGCCCATATCCACTTTTTTAGTTCCCATGTCACCAAATTGAGCTTCAATGTAAAATCGCTAATTTTCAGCTATCCACATTTTTATTTGCCCCCCCCCTTAAAAATAAGGTCTAAAATAGGATATTAGTCTTCTATTAAGTTTAGTGTGCCTCTTCTGTCCTTTAACTCCGAGTCTCCCAAACCAGAAAACACAACAGAGTCAAAGTACCACTGCCCCTTTTAGTGACATCAGGTCTCTTTTAGCCACAAGAGCAGAGATTGGCAACCTTCTTCCACACAGGAGCCAAAGATCAAGTCTGTGAGCAAACAACCTCTCTTGGATAAATATTCCGGCACTTAAAAGTTCAGGGTGAATCTTAAAGAATTGCTTCTTAGAAGAATTTGAGCCATGTTCAAAGGAGAATATAAGAGTGTGCTCAGCAGAGGCTCAGGAAACCTCTTGTGACTGGGGAAAGAAATGCTTATGGAGAGAGGAGAAAGATCTAGGTAACCCATAAACATATATACATGGGCTCATAATACCCATCTGAATCATTACAATTTGTTAATAGACAGTAGTACATTTCTACATCAAGTCTGAGATAGAATTCCAAACTTTTTTAGAACTGTGACAGGTGGGTATATTTATTTTGGGACAATGGGCTGAATGATTTTGGTTGGTGGTCCAGATCCAGCTTCTGAGTAGTAGATTTCTGACTCCTACCATAGAGGCAGAGGAGGAAAGGGGGAAATCATTCTCAGGTCACAAATAGGTTGCCTGTGTTAATAATTTAAGAAAATCAAATCAAAATCCAGAGGGATTCTGATTAGATATGAGTCGTGGTATTGGTGTGTATGTATGTTTGTGTGTAACCTTGATATTTTAATTATAGATCCTGAAACCGAACAAAAAATAGTAAACTCTACAGGTTGTCTTTCTCCTTAATTAGTACATGCTCTCTGTGGCACTTTGCTGTTTATCAATCTAGACATGATATAAATAAATAGTTATGCAAGAAAGACTCGTGTCTAGAATAAGAAATTGGAAGAGCTTTGAAGAGCAGGGACACTACAAAATCTATGGAAAACTATGAAGACAGCAAACATACAAATAAAGAGCACTAAGTTTAGCTCACATCTCAGTGAATAGGCATGATAAGTTAAATTTAGGCATTACCCATTGAATTTGAACATATGGTTGGAGGCAGTTTTAAGTAAGGATGCTGAAAAAGAAATTTTCTTCTCATTTAAAAACAACGTTGGAAAACCATTAGATCACACTAACAATCCCTTGTATAAATTAATAGCAATAACACTTAGACTTATACACCCTTCATAACGCTTTATAGCACTCTCTAAGCAGTTTACAGATTCGGCATATTGCCCAAAACAATCTGGGTCCTCATTTTACCGACCTTGGAAGGCTGAATCAACCTTGATCCAGTCAGGATCGAACTGCTGGCAGTCAGAAGAATTAGTCTGCAATACTATATTCTATCTGTGCCACCATAGCTCTTCATTACTATTAATCAGTTATTAACAAATAGTTCCATGCATGAATCCATGCCACTCCATATGCTACTCTTCCTTGAAAGAAAAGCATAATTAGAAAACAAAAACCAGGCAGAAATTGATAATACATACTCCTATTAAGGCCAAACCTGGGATGCTCCCAATAGAGAGAAGTGCCTGTTTCCATGAAAGTTCCTGTAAGCAAAAAATGTGACACCATGAAAACACACCTATTCACTACACTGCAAAAAAGATTGTTGCAATCTGCCACATATACTTACATTTTTCTCACCATTNTCCTCCCTGCACTGTGAATGTTTACATGTTATGTTCAATTAAACCATGGTAACATGTAACGTTTGTGTATTATTATTTTCAGCAGACTGTGTTTTTCTATTGTTGTGACTTAGATGACGTTCAGAGCACATTTTATGACCAATTCATGCAAAACTCCGCGTTATCCCAAGGGGTTCACATACTTTTTCTTGCAACTGTAGCTGTCATAGTAGCTTTTGATAGGCTTTCCTTCTAATTTATAAATGACATCCCTGTGATGATTTAATTTAATTGAGTATAAAAGGGTTTAGTTGAAATGGAATAGAAAGGGGAAAATCAAGCCAGTGGAAACATCTCTGTTCCTTCACTTACTTTTTTCCCCGCCACCTTAGACATTCCAATAACTTCACCCGTGCTATGCATGACCTTAATCCCATTCTCACGTTCAAAGTTTCTGACTATGAACACATTGAATGCACAGAGAACACCTGCAGAGAACAGGGGAAAAGATCAGGCTCAGTAAGAAATATAAACAAGAATTATTAGCCTTAACTCTCAATTCTTGTGATAACATTTATATTAGCAAAGCAGAAGAGTGACTTGACCTCTGGCAGACATTGTAAAATTAAAAAAACAAACAGAAAGAAATGCACTATTGGGCTTAAATTCTGCTGCAATTGCTGGAGAGTCTTCCAAAAATTATGATTTTGATAATCAGTTGGCTTACGCGGAAACTGCTGAAAGTTTAGTTTCCAGGGTTTTCTTGGCTCATACTGAAATTTCAGCCAAATTGGCAAAATTTTCTAGTACTCTAATTTTCTTCATAATTTTCTGAGTCAGTTTAAAAAAAATATCTATGGATACACCCATGGAGGAAGCAATAATATGGTGTACGCTATGTACGATAACGTATGAAAAAACAGATACTGACTATGGGAAATTCTGATTAGCTTGCCCTTTTTATCAGAAAAAAACACCTAGCAATTGAAACAATTCTGAGTTTGAAACTAATGGATGTGCGATCAACCTGTAACTTTTAAATTATTTCTGGGAGAATGGGCTAAATTTATTCCAAGTATTTAAGGTAACTACAGGAATGAGAAATTGGAGGCAGTGCCTTTGAAATTCTACATAATTGTTACGCTTATGGTCATTGAACTTCAAGAGGAAATCAAAGAAGTTTGGATAAAAGAAAGCAATCTTTGGGGTAGGGTAGCCAATTGAGGGCACTCCCATAAAATATGTTAAGCTCCTGCCTAAACATACTTGACTCATAATTAATAATAAAAGTAGGTTGGACTAGGATCACTATCTTGTATTTTATCAACCAACAGGATTTTTATACCTCAAAGGCTACAGAAACACTTGAAAATCACTTTATTAATAAAGACTACTTTTATCCTTTTATCGACCAAGGATCAACTTTTAGAAGTAAACCCAGGAATCTCAGGACTCAGAATCTTGCAAGATCGAATCTGGGTCGATCACTGGGACCAAAGGTTTACTCTTCCAAGCTTTAGAACTGGAGCTGGAGCCCATCTTCAGGGAATTTCTCTCTACTGAAATATGTCCTTTGGGCTATTCTGTGAGTCCTATTTATGTGGTGCCTTCGGACTGGTATGTTGATGGCTGGCAATCAGTTGTTGTCTCCTTGTGCTGTCAAGCCCTGGGCTCCTGATAAGCTGGTGGTAAATCAGCATTCCTGTTGACTGACAAGGGGCCCATTTCCCAGGCTTCAATCATTTCTCTGGCTATCTTTGTACCTGCACGGCCAACAATCTTAGTAGCTGCAAAATTGAAATGTATGTCCTTGTTCATTGCAATGTGAGGCTACCAATGAGTTCGGGTCTCCTCGTCTGAACGCTTGTGTTCTTGCAGTTTGTGGTTAGCTTGCTCCCTGTCTGTCCCACATAATCAGAATATTACTTCATGCGATTTGATCTTACCCTACTGTTGTCACATTTAGGGATAACATGAACAAAATTTAACAAAAAGATTATTAAGATAACTCTGGATTTATTGCAGAGTATTAAAGGAACATATGTTCCTCTAGGAAATATGACCAGTATTTAGCATCTATTCGGAATAAAAAATGTGATTTTTTTTTTCCTAGCATGAGGCTTGTTAAACAAACAATAATAAAACATTGAAATGGGACCTGCGTAGCTGATTTCCAGCATCAGCAGTGTTTGTCAACATTTGAAATAGGGTTTTTTTTTCAACAAGGACAATTTTTAAACAACATGGCTACATTTTGAAACTGTTATGTTTACAACATAAATACTATATTTGAAAAAATGCTCATACCTGATAGAACAGCAACAATTATATAAGACAAACTTGTTGACAGCATAGAATACCTGTAACTAATGTTTCAAAGAACTGTCACACTTTTACTCACCAAAAAAAGCACTTGCCATGAACTTGCTGAAGAAATGCCCTGGAGTATTTAGTGATTTCTTACGCGCTATAACATAGTGAGGGAGAGTCTGAAAACAACCGTTTCAGAGAGAGAGAGAGAGAGAGAGAGAGGGAGAAGGGAGAGGAAGGGAGGGGAGAGAGAGATTGTGACATTTTTATTTTGTACTCAGCTTTATTTCATGGAAAAAGAGGGATTGACTATAAGCTTTTTCCACTAAATGTTAATAAGTCTATCCCCAACAAGCCCATATCCACTTTTTTAGTTCCCATGTCACCAAATTGAGCTTCAATGTAAAATCGCTAATTTTCAGCTATCCACATTTTTATTTGCTCCCCCCCCCTTAAAAATAAGGTCTAAAATAGGATATTAGTCTTCTATTAAGTTTAGTGTGCCTCTTCTGTCCTTTAACTCCCAGTCTCCCAAACCAAAAAACACAACAGAGTCAAAGTACCACTGCCCCTTTTAGTGACATCAGGTCTCTTTTAGCCACAAGAGCAGAGATTGGCAACCTTCTTCCACACAGGAGCCAAAGATCAAGTCTGTGAGCAAACAACCTCTCTTGGATAAATATTCCGGCACTTAAAAGTTCAGGGTGAATCTTAAAGAATTGCTTCTTAGAAGAATTTGAGCCATGTTCAAAGGAGAATATAAGAGTGTGCTCAGCAGAGGCTCAGGAAACCTCTTGTGACTGGGGAAAGAAATGCTTATGGAGAGAGGAGAAAGATCTAAGTAACCCATAAACATATATACATGGGCTCATAATACCCATCTGAATCATTACAATTTGTTAATAGACAGTAGTACAGTTCTACATCAAGTCTGAGATAGAATTCCAAACTTTTTTAGAACTGTGGCAGGTGGGTATATTTATTTTGGGACAATGGGCTGAATGATTTTGGTTGGTGGTCCAGATCCAGCTTCTGAGTGGTAGATTTCTGACTCCTACCATAGAGGCAGAGGAGGAAAGGGGGAAATCATTCTCAGGTCACAAATAGGTTGCCTGTGTTAATAATTTAAGAAAATCAAATCAAAATCCAGAGGGATTCTGATTAGATATGAGTCGTGGTATTGGTGTGTATGTATGTTTGTGTGTAACCTTGATATTTTAATTATAGATCCTGAAACCGAACAAAAAATAGTAAACTCTACAGGTTGTCTTTCTCCTTAATTAGTACATGCTCTCTGTGGCACTTTGCTGTTTATCAATCTAGACATGATATAAATAAATAGTTATGCAAGAAAGACTCATGTCTAGAATAAGAAATTGGAAATATATCAAGCTTTGAAGAGCAGGGACACTACAAAATCTATGGAAAACTATGAAGACAGCAAACATACAAATAAAGAGCACTAAGTTTAGCTCACATCTCAGTGAATAGGCATGATAAGTTAAATTTAGGCATTACCCATTGAATTTGAACATATGGTTGGAGGCAGTTTTAAGTAAGGATGCTGAAAAAGAAATTTTCTTCTCATTTAAAAACAATGTTGGAAAACCATTAGATCACACTAACAATCCCTTGTATAAATTAATAGCAATAACACTTAGACTTATACACCCTTCATAACGCTTTATAGCCCTCTCTAAGCAGTTTACAGATTCGGCATATTGCCCAAAACAATCTGGGTCCTCATTTTACCGACCTTGGAAGGCTGAATCAACCTTGATCCAGTCAGGATCGAACTGCTGGCAGTCAGAAGAATTAGTCTGCAATACTATATTCTATCTGTGCCACCATAGCTCTTCATTACTATTAATCAGTTATTAACAAATAGTTCCATGCATGAATCCATGCCACTCCATATGCTACTCTTCCTTGAAAGAAAAGCATAATTAAAAAACAAAAACCAGGCAGAAATTGATAATACATACTCCTATTAAGGCCAAACCTGGGATGCTCCCAATAGAGAGAAGTGCCTGTTTCCATGAAAGTTCCTGTAAGCAAAAAATGTGACACCATGAAAACACACCTATTCACTACACTGCAAAAAAGATTGTTGCAATCTGCCACATATACTTACATTTTTCTCACCATTCTCCAATGATCTTTTTACAGAATTCCTGTTTGCCAAACTGAATCCACCAATATAGGCATGGAAAAGAAACTGCAAAATTTGAAATTACAAATGCACAGTATCAACATGAGTTAACAAATTAATCTAAACAAATTAATACAAAATGAATGGCTTAGCCAGTACCTGCTGGGAAAACGATGTCAAAAATGTTCTGTATGGTAAGGAAGCAATTGCAGCCTGTAAATAGAAATTTATATGGGAAACACATCTGGACAATATTGCAAAGATATATATACCTGCACTAGCAGATCATTTTATACTTTGCTATAGTACCGTCATGTAGTTTCAGAAGCAAATATCCAGTTTTTTTCAGGCCCGAATCTAAATTTGCTACTGGCACCACGGATCCCATGTGAGATAACTGCTCCCAAGTTACTTCATTTCCAGTCAATAGACTCTAAAGAAGCAACTGGAATCAATGAGTAGTCTGAACATACCATGCATTCTATTCCTAACACCACTTTAATCTGCCAGATATATTATTTAACCACTGTCTTTAAAAGCATTCAAACAATCTTTTGGTCTCTGTGCTTTTTGGGATAACATAAATTGAGCAACAGTTATGGCAACTCGTACATCACAATAATCTTCATAAAACTTGTTTGTGCACCATAAAAAGCAAAGCAACTCCTACATTTAAAAAGCTGCTTCATCTATACCAGGGGTGTCAAACTCGCAACATCATGTTACGTGTCACGACATATCGCAACTTTTTTCCCATTGCCGGCAATAGGGGGGATGCGGTTTCGGCATGACGCATCCGGCCCGCAGGCCAGCAGTTTCACACCCCTGATCTGTACACTCTGCAAATCAGCATGTGTATTCACAATGGGCCTGTAATGTTTTCTGTCTACTGAGTCCTTGGAGGCTAAATGTGCTTGTGTCTGATCTTGGTTCCCTTAAAAAAATTCTTCAATATTTACAGAAGTGAAAAAAGCAATTCAACATTGATACCTGAAAATGCATTAAGGTACATTCCCAATATGTATTGAATAATCTATCGAATGAATTACTTTTCTCAGCTCTCAGGTACTTTTTTTTAATCTCACCTCTTCTCTCATCTAAGCAGTTTATTTTATTGTCCCTCCACCAAATTTTATTCCTCATTTATGTTTGTTGATTTCATGAGTCTCTCCCAATCATCTGTTTTCTTCTCCTTTCCACCTATCGTTCATCGCTGGGCTGCTTAAGAGGAAAAGGGATCTTTTCTTAAGAAATGTTGCATTCTGTGAATCGAAGGTGATTCAGAGTTTGTCAGTATCTCCCTCTTTTGTGTGGCCAATTTGGACTGGTGCAAAGACAGGAAAGGACATACACCACCAGCTTGCTCTCCAGAAATTGTCAGCAATATGTGTTCTCTCTGCACTGAAACACTGCATAAAGATTGGGAGAAAGGAATCTTTTGCCTGTATCTGCTCAAACTAGAGCCATCCACAGGCTTGGCAGTCGCAACTGCGACATCATATGTGTTTTTTCAAAATTTGCATTGCTAACAAAGAATTAAGGGAGAACTGGAATAGCCATTTCAAACTTTTTAGTTCTTTTCAACCAGACATACCCTTCTGAGATTCGAACCTGGGCTGTCTGCATGTTAGGCAGATGTATTAACCTCTAGACCACAGGCTCTTTCTCACTTTGTCAGCTATGAGACAGGGGAGAAGAATTATCTTGAGTTTGGTGCACCCTGTCGGCCCAAATATGGGAGAAAGGAATGTTAGCAATCCAAATTTTGAAAAACACATATGATGTCGCAGTTGCGACTGCTAAGCCTGTGGATGGCTCTAGTTTGAGCAGATACAGGCAAAAGATTCCTTTCTCCCATATTTGGGCCGACAGGGTGCACCAAACTCAAGATAATTCTTCTCCCCTGTCTCATAGCTGACAAAGTGAGAAAGAGCCTGTGGTCTAGAGGTTAATACATCTGCCTAACATGCAGACAGCCCAGGTTTGAATCTCAGAAGGGTATGTCTGGTTGAAAAGAACTAAAAAGTTTGAAATGGCTATTCCAGTTCTCCCTTAATTCTTTGTTAGCAATCCAAATTTTGAATATATATATATATATATATATATATATATATATATATATATATATATATATATATATATATACCAATAATAAATAAATAAAAGTAAACACCAGGGTAAAATCATTAAACTATAAGAGTTTAATACCAATACACATACGCCAAGCTTTCGTCAGCTTCCACTGCTGACATCATCAGGGCTTAGAAAGCCAGTCCATGGGAGAGTCCTTTATAGGTTGAATACGGTCTGCACACGGCCCCTGGACCTCGTTACTGGTCCTGATTGCACCGGCTGCGTTCCGGCGGTGGTTTTCCCTCCGCTGGTTGTTCCTATCCTGCAACACTTGCCCGTACGGTCGCCTTCGCCTAACTCATTTTCTCGCGGGCCGGGGGCGGGTGGGACATTTCCCCTTCCTACTCTCCTCGGTCGTGTCCCCTGCCCTGCCTGCCCGTGTGGTCCTGCGCTCTTACTCCCTATGTTGGTCAAACCCACCCGGCTCGGGGTGCCTATTCCCTTCCCTGGAGTCCAGCTGGTCCCAGTCACCTCGCTGCCATTCTCACGGGCGCTTCCCCTTTTTTCTCTGATCGCGCCTCCCATATCCCCTGTGCCTCTCAACAATCCGCCTCCATCGTTCTTCCACTCACCCCACCTGGGCTGGCTAGGCTCATTCCCCCCCTTCGCCTCCTCCTTCTCTTCGTTCCCTTTGTCGGCCCCCTTCTCCTCACCCCCCATATCCGTCCCTCTTGCCAATGCCATCCTGTCCGGGTCGTTCCCTCCCCTTTCCCTGTCTGCTGTTCCTAACTCAGTCGCTGGCTCCCAGGGGGATGTTCCATGTTTTTCGTTGGTTCGGGCACGACGGGGTTACGGGGTGGGGTGGTCGGGCCGCCGCCGCTGCCGCGGCTCAATGATTTCCTCCTCTCCTCCTTCGTGTGCGATCGAGTAATTATCCTTCCGGGGCCCTCTCTTTCCCTACCAGCCTTTGCGCTTCCCCCTCTTTCCTCGCTGACCGTGTCCCCCACCCCCTCTCTTTCCTTTCCTTCGTTCTCCTCGCTGGCCCCCTTCTCCTTGCCCCCATACCCATCCCCTCTATGGTTCGGGCATGACGGGATTACGGGGTGGGGTGGTCGGGCCACTGCCGCTAGCGCGGGGCGGCTCAATGGTTTCCTCCTCTCCTCCGTGTGCGATCGAGTGACTATCCTTCTGGGGCCCTCTCCCTCCCTACCGGCCTTTGCGCTCCCCCCTCTTTCCTCGCTGATCGTGTCCCCCGTTCCCTCTTTTTCCTTTCCTTCGTTCTCCTCGTCGTCCCCCTTCTCCTTGCCCCCGTACCCATCTCCTCCATAGATGTTATCCTGCCTGGGTCGTTTCCTCCCCCCTTCCTGTCTGTCATTCTTAGCTCGACCGCTGGCCCCCAGGGGGTTGCCCCGTGCTTCCCGTTGGCTCAAGCACAACGGCGCTGCGGAGTGGGGCAGTTGGGTCGAAGGGCGACTCAGAGGGCTCCTCTTCCCCTCTCTCATGCACAATCGGGTAGCCACCCTCCTGCCCCCCCCCTCTTCTCTGTCAGCCTCCGTCCTATCATCTCCGTGCGGTTCAATCTCAGCCGGGTCATCACGACTACCCCCCGCACTGGTGCCACTGGCCCCCGCCGAGGGTATTCGGAGGCCCCGCTTCTCCATCATCGTCCCGTTAGTGTGCGCCGCCTTACCCCGGCGTCCCCGGGGGAGGGGGGAGGGGGTTCCTGGAGGGTCAGTCGTCGGTCTCATGCTCTCCCTCATTGTCGGTCTCCACGTCCTTCTGGGTTGCACCCCTTTCTTTATTGTGGGACTCACTGCCCACGGCCCCCATGGTGCCTGGATGTTTGGGGGCAGTTGGGGGGGAGGCGACGTTCCTCTCACAGTGCCCTCTGTTGGTTCCACTGGCGCTCCCAATGTTCTGTTGCAACACTTCCAGCCGGATGGGGGGGTTGCTACCTGTGCTCCAAGCCCTCAGCGCTAAATGCGCTGGACAGAGGTCCACATGCCGATTAATTGAATCCCTGTCTGAGAGCCAAGCCTCCTTAAGCAAGCGTCCCCCTTTCGTGCCGTCATTAGCCAAAACACGCACATTGTCGAAGTCGAACCGATGGCCAGACTCCGCCATGTGCGCCCATATTTGGGAGTAACACTCGCCCCGTTTTATTGCCAGCTTGTGCTCATGGACCCTAGTTCTCACCCTCTTCGAGGTCTCCCCAACATAGTTGCTGGAACAGTCCCTGCAGTCGATTCTGTATACGACTGCCGACTTCTCCATGTTGGGGAGTGGGTCCTTGGGGCGCATGGCTGCGGCACGGAGTGTCCGGTTGGGTCTGTGTGCAACTTTCACGTTGTGCGGCACCAGTATCCTCGCTGTGGCCTCCAAGACATTGCAGATGTACGGGAGGGTGACCAACACCGGCTGTGACGTCAACTCCTCCGTCGGCTGCTCTCTTTTGGGTTCAGGTGGTGTGCTGTGGTGCCTAACGAATCTCACTGGGTACCCGTTGCGCTTGCACACCCGGAAGAGATAGTCCCTCTCCTCTTTCTTCGCTCTGCTCGTGCTACAGTGGGAATGCACCCGTTTGAACAGGGTTCTGACGCAGCTGACCTTATGGGCCACCGGATGGTTGCTCTGATAGTGGAGGATCCTATCCGTGCGCGTTGGTTTCCGGTATACCCTTGTATTTAGAGATCCATCTGGTTGCCGATGGACCAATACATCCAGGAACGCCAGGGTGCCCTGGCTCTCCTCCTCCATCGTAAACTGGATGTCAGGGTATACCGAATTAAGCACGCCCATAAAGTCAGCTTTCTGATGTTTCTTGACGACCGCAAACGTGTCGTCAAGTAGCGGGCCCAGAACTTGGGTTGGTACCGGGCCATCGCTACGAGTTCCAACTGTTGGAGCACCACCTCTGCCACTATGCTAGAGATCGGGGACCCCATGGGCGTCCCTTTAATTTGCTCGAACATGGTGCCTTGGAAGGTGAAGTAAGTTCTTAAGCATACCTCCACCAACCTTATCAGGTCCTCAGTTCGAAGAGAGTCCTGCTGCTGTTCCAGGTGCCTTCGGCTCAAGCAGTCCCTAAACGTTGCGACTGCGAGATCCTGAGGGATGGAAGTGAAGAGGGAGATGACGTCAAAGGACACCATCACCTCATCCTCCTCCACCCTCAGGGTCTTAATCCTGCCCAGGAACTCCTCCGCCGATCTTACTGTGGTGGTGCTATCGTTGGTCAGGTAGTTAACACGGCCACTCAGCCACTTGGCCAACTCCGAGGTGGGGGTGCCCCTGAATGCAACAATGGGGCGGAGGGGAATGCCTGCCTTATGGATTTTAGGCAGGCCATAGAACCTGGCCAGTGCCGAATCGCTGGGGCGTATCCTCCTCAGAACATCCTCCCCCAATCTCTTACTCCGTTTTAGGCCGTCCAAAAGTTTGTTGATGTAATTCCTGAGTGTGATCATGGGGTCCTTATCAACCACCCTGTACGCTGTTCTATCCTGGAGCAGTTCCAGCACCTTGTTCGTGTACGCCACCTTGTCCATCACAACCGTGGCCCTCCCCTTGTCCACTGGAAGTACGACGATGGAGTTATCCCTCTTGAGTTGTTCTAGAGCCTCCATCTCCTGTTTGGATAATGTCTGGTACGGTTTATGGTTTACCAGCAGGCCAGTGACCTGTTGCCTGAGTGCATATTCTGAGTGCATATTCTGAAAACTTTCACTGTTACTCACCAATGAAGCAGAAATACACACAAAACCTTTGAAAGAGAGAGAGAAAGAAAACTGTCCAGTTAGCAAATTGGTGCATATAAGGGAGTGATAGAAAAATAAATAATATAAAAATGTCAACATATACAGTAATTATAAATTAGGCACTATGTACGCAAAAACATGAATGACGGGCCTTATGGCTTTTTTGGAGTTTTATACTTCATTATTTTAGGAAATTATTGGTACTGAATAAGCAATGGAAATTTTAGAGGTTATTTAAAATAAGGGAAAATTGTGCTCCACTGTCTAGGAATTAATTGCTTCAATAATGCAACGGATGTTAAATTAATTTTCTCCACATTCCTACATGCTGGAAGCAAGTCCTAACAAGACAAATATTGCTAAGCTCAAAGATTTAAAAATTGACAATGAAGCCTTAAAAAACATGGATTGGGCTATTTTTTAAATTATATTTTATGTATAATAATAAAGATATGGCATTTAAGAAGACCTATATGGTTATTTATTTTAAATATCTTGTTAAATTATGCTTTGTTCAACTATAGTGTACTAAATAAACTATAACCACCAGAGTCAACACAAGAAAAAATCTGTTTACCAACTACAATGTCTGGGTGCATGTAATATACTAAGCCCAAACTAAACAAACTACATTAAAATTTAGCATGATTTATAATGCCTGTCTGTGTCTATTAGAATATATTCACATATTTATCAAATCACAATCACTACTAAAAACAAATTATAAATTAATACTGAGATCATATTCTAACATGCATTCCAGGAATACAAGTAAATAGATGCAGGCTATGGATAATATACATTAATAACAGCAATAATGACCGACAACAGTTCATTTCGTAACCATTCAAAGTTACATGATTTATGACCATTTTTCACATGACCGTTGCAGCATCTCTTGGACATGTGACCAAAATTTGGATGCTTAGCAATTGGTTCATATTTATGACAGTTGCAATGTCCGGGGTGTGTCTGTGTGTCTTGTGATCAGCTTTTGTGACCTTCTGACAAGCAAAGTCAATGGGGAACCCAGATTCACTTAACAATGTTATTAACTTAACAACTGAAATGATTCACTTAACAACTGTGGCAAGAAAGGTCATAAAATGGAGTAAAACTCACTTAACAAATGTTTCACTTAGCAACATAAATTTGGAACTCAATTGTGATCATAAGTCGAGGACTACCTGTATACCAAAATTAATTTTATTTCCTATTATGTTATTCATCAGTACTAATAACAGTATGGGGAAGTGATTAAGGTGGTGGACTATAAATGGGAATACTTAGATTGAAATCCATCATCAATCACAGAGCTCCAAAGTTATTGCTGGACCCCTCGCTTCCCTCGTCCCAGCCCACCACACAGGGTGGTCGTTAAGGGATAAAATAGGAAGAAGGAGCTTGCATACTGTTGCCTTGAGTTTCTAAATGGAAGGTGGGTTATCAAACAAGTAAACAAGTACTGGAAAAAGCTGAGTTCAAATTGCAATAAAATGACATTTGAAACTAACCTCCTCCTCTAAAGAAGAAAGGAATTGTATCGCCAGTGCTGGGATTCACACAGAGCTGAGAAAAGAAAAATACATATAAAATTGATTAGAACATCTCTACTAAAAGATGAAAAGATCACGTTAAAATAATTCCTAAATATAATAGGAAAACTCACCAGACTTATTTTCCAAGCATCTCTGACCTAAAACATTGGAAAGCAGTATTTAAGAGATAGGTCAGAAACCATTTTATAGCTGACTATATATTATGGAATGGCTTAGCTTTTCAAGAACCATTGATGGGATGATTTGAAATGTTTTGGGGTTTTTTTGTCCATCAATAATGCTTTTTCACATAATCTGCTACATCATAACCGATATCCTAAATCACTTTTTAAAAAATCTGATAGCTTCATTTAAGTTGTATTTCATCTCAAATAAAGGAATTGTGACATTTAAATCATAGGATAATGAAATATAGATACAGAAGTAAAAAGATATGTATATAAGTTCAGAACTAATTAAAATTGGCTTGTCAAGAATGAATCCTGGGCTGATACTCACAGTTCGTTCATTTCACTTGTTAGTATGCTTAGATAAATTTCTTGTGGTTTAAACCTAAGATTCTTATAAACTAAGAGCAAGCTAGAAAATATTGTCTGACCAAACCAGGATTTCATATGCAACACAATCTAAAGAAAATATTTGAAGATTTGATGATCCACTTATATTACTAGGAATAAATAAGCGTACATTAGCCAGCATTGTGACTTGCTGTGATATGTGATTACAGTCACTCTCTTTTATGGCATTCTTTTAAAACTAACAAACAAAAGCTTTTTATTTATTTATTTTTTATGCCACCATCTCCCCTACAAGATGACTTTGTTGTTCCGTCAGTATTTATGGTTCCCCCAAACTTTACATACTTCTGTTTCCTTTTCAACATCTATTTTGATCTTTATACATTAGGATATATTTATTCATACCTACGGACTTGTATAATTGGAAAAAGAACAGGCTCCACAGAACAGGTCTTCAACACGAGGGCCACGGACCAGTACCATTCCGTGACCTGTTAGGAACAGGGCCGCGCAAGAAAGCAAAGCTTCATCTGTGTATGCGCAGGATCTATATAGCACATGAACTCTCCCCTTCCTTCCCCCAGTCTGAAAAAATTGTCTTCCATGAAATCAGTCCCTAGTGCCAAAAAGTTTGGAGACTGTTGCTATAGAAGATACAGTAGAAATTCTACCTATGTTAGTTCTGTTGCAGTAGTGTGGCCCCGCTGTCCACACTTCGAGAGACTGCATATACGGTACATACAAAAACTGCTCACATTAATAGGCTTCTTTACAGATCACTATATTCAAAGTGTGGATGTCACAGGACAGAGGTAATTACTGGAGTCACACTAGAAATGTGTTCAGCAGCATCAATGCACGACTACTTTACAGACAGTATCACATGAACAAAGCTGGTGGCTTAGCCTCACTTGAGGAGAGCTGGGATCAAAATTCAGTTGCAAATTCAGTTCCTCTCTCGTGCCTCGAGTCTCAGCTTAGATATCAGGGCACAGCAACGAGAAACCTAATCATTTTTGCACACTAGAATGTAATGTACAAGCATGTTCACAACATCACTGTACCTTTTTATCTTGTAAAGACGTTACATCTTCTCCACTATTCAGTAAAAGATCTCTCGATGCATTAATGTCTGCCTGTATTTACAAGAAAAGTGGAAATAAACTGGGGGGTTTTTTCCCTATAAATAAGCATTTCTTTTCTTGTGATGTTATCGTTTTTTTCCACTGAGTGTTTTGTGACACAAAATACAATCAACCAGTATTGCGCCTGGCTTTTCTCTACCCCATTCTTATAGGTAAGTGGAGGGTGAAGGGACAAACTCAGAGCAGCTTCTAGGACGCAAATTGATCCAGAAGAAAGCATCAGGGGAAGGCTTGTCTCTCTCTCCCAGACCTGTTGCTCCAATCCGATCTGCAAGACTTTTCAAGGAGAGGAAGGATGTGAGGAGTCCAGACCAGTAATATACCATAGCATATTCATTCCGGTCCCAAACCATTTATGTATTCATGCAGGGAACCTGTTTCAATCTTCTTTAAATATATTCACTGACCATTAATGGAACAGCACTATTTCTTTCCCACTGGGGGTAATAGAAAAAGCTGAAGTACCTGTATCTTTTGACCAATAAGGAAGTGCAAAGAGCCTCAAAGCTAAAAGCAACAGAATTGCTCTTTTTGGTGACAGCCTGAATTTGGTGCAATGCAGTGGTTCGCTCTACTGTATGTGTATCCCAGGCCAACACACATGGGTTAATTCTTTCTTTCAAATATTTGTTATTACACATCATAACACTTTGAAATTAATGTTTTTTTTTTCTTTAAAATAATGCTACTGTGACTGAAAGCTTGTGGAAAAATAACAAGCATATTATATTAACGATCATTTCTATGCAAGCTGCCTGATTTTATTCTTCCATTTGCATGGCCCTGCTGGTTGTATTTTGTATGTTGTCTGAATCAAGAAAATGTTACGCATCGTTCATGTTGTCTTAATGATGCAGTCTGAAACTATGCTTGCACTTATTTGATCTAGCTTTGGTTTAGCATGATATCCTGTCTCAAACTGATGGCTAATTCATGGCTCTTGTTGTTCCAGGAAAAATGAAACAAGTTGCAGGAATGGCTAGGAATTGTTTTAGCAGCTATATTTTCACTACTCCATTTCCAAAATTTACTGTTCTATTTAACCTAGGCATGCAAGGATTTTTTTTTAAAAAAGGGGGGGTTAGAAAAACATTCATTTCCCCACATGCTTTATTATAGTAGCTCTGATGCTGAAGAGAATATTAATTGCCTTGATTTGAGTTTGGAGAAAAAAAAGCAAACAGACAAGGTAATATTGCTCAGTTAGCTACTTTAAAATAGCCAAGAAGACAAGGAGGCTGCAGCTGATGCAGCATCTACAGATAATCCTCAGTTTAGAGTGAAGAGAAGAGCAACAAAGATGATTAGGGACTGGAGGCTGAAACGTATAAAGAATGATTGCTGGAATTGGGTATGTCTAGCTTAATAAAGAGAAAGACGAGGGGTGACATGATAGCAGTGTTCCAATATCTCAGGGGTTGCCACAAAGAAGAGGGAGTCAAGCTATTCTCCAAAGCATCTGAGGGCAAGACAAGAAGCAATGGGTGGAAACCAACCAAAGAGAAAAACGACCTAGAACTAAGGAGAAATTTCCTGACAGAACAATTAATTATTGGAACAACCTGCCTCCAGAAGTTGTGAACACTCCAACACTGGAAATTTTTAAGAAGAGACTGAATAACCATTTGTCTGAAATGGTATAGGGTTTCCTGTCTGAGCAGGGGGTTGGACTAGAAGACCTCCAAGGTCCCTCCCAACTCTTGTTATTTTGTGGTTGGAAACATCGTCTGACTGCAATGTACATTTTACTTCTTCAGTTACCATTAACTTGCTATTCATAAGTCAGTTGTGAAATACACTAATGGTGATCATGTAACTGTGAGATGCTGTGATGGTCGTAAATGCAAAGATTGATCACAAAGATGTCATTCATTCAATTTCTATAGCCAGCCATCTCAATCCAAAGGACTCTTTTTTTAGCACAATTTCAAATGGTTGCTAAACAAGGCAATCAGTAAACAAGAGACTACCTGTACATTTTTAGTAAGTCATATGAATGTGCCCACAGAAATGCTTTCTAGCTTGCTTTCAAGTTTCAGTATCCACAGCTTAAATACATAGGTTCTTACCTCACGTGTAAATATGACCAAGGGGTCCAAAATTTCTATCCAGTGCTTCAATCTTTTGGAAAAAGTCTAAAGAAATAGATTTAAAAGATACCTGAGCTTGAATATGTTTTTGCAGTGATGCTAAAATTAGTCAAAATTGCCCAATAACATAAACCCAGTAGTTTTATCCACACTTCAAACCCAAAGCAGCTCTCCATTACACTGAACCTGTGATTTTTTTTTTGAGTAAACAAGACACCCAGCATAGTCAAGTCACCCATGAAAAGCATACGCCATAGTCCTTTGAAACTTCATGCTTGATCTTTCTGGCATGTGATTCAGGGAGACTCAATAACTCAAATAAAGAATCACATCCTTTTGACAAGAAAAATCAACTAGAGGAGGGGTGCATTTTGATACAAGGGGTTGATATGTGAGGAAAGATGGGGCTAAAAATATTATTTCACTCTCACCTGTTGCAAGTATGGGGAAATGGGTTGTTTTTAATGGAAACATTAAGCTTATCAACTCTTATGATAGTGTAACTTGCAAAAACAACTTCATATAAAAGTTATTTCTATTAAGCCACACCTGTTCTATATTTCTACTAGACTTACTGAAAATCAACTGGGCAAGAAGTGACCCCCAAATGTTGGACTGTTATCCAGAGGGTAACCCGGAGCTTAGAATACAATTATCTCACAGAGTTGAAGGCATTCAGCCTCCATTTCTTTCTCTGAATACATTTCAGGATTCCTAGTATAGGACAACCAAAAGGGACTTTTTTTTTTGTTTTCTCATCCTTAATGCATGCTGTATAGGTTTCACGTAAGAGCAAACAGATCCAGAAACCATCCCCATTCCTTCTGCTTCCAAGTATTATTTGCAGCAGAGGCCAAGAACTCTGCAAAGCAGGTTAAAATACTGTATGGCTTTCAGAACCAAATTTTTGGATACCATCAAAGTGCATCCCTTTTCTTTAGAGTCATAAAATTATGCCCATTCAAGAGATGGGACAATTGAAAGGCTTTGTGGTTGTAGTCATATGAATCCTATTTAACCCTGATAATGAGTAGGTATGCAGGGTATGATACTATACTCATTAAAAAGCATGCAAGCCCTACTGAAATCAATAAGGCTTATTTTTGAATAGACTTTAGGAACAGAACAAGTTTAATATATCTAGCGACTTTGAATAAGGTCTCGTTTATTACACTAGGCCAGGGGTAGGCAACCTTGGCTCTTTTATGACTCGTGGACTTCAACTCCCAGAATTCCTGAGCCAGCTATGCTGGCTCAGGAATTCTGGGAGTTGAAGTCCACGAGTCATAAAAGAGCCAAGGTTGCCTACCCCTGCACTAGGCTTTTATCAACTGGACTTAATAATTGCTGAGCATTCGGGAATGGGAATGTCATAATGT